ATCGACTTTCATCAGCGTTTGGGTCCATGTTTTCAAGCAATCGAAGCCTCTGATTTAGCTTAGAAAAAAAAACCCAGCTAATCCTTTCACTGTAAAGTTTTTGACAAATTCCGTCTTTCCTTTTCCTCAATATTTCTGTCTTCTTTAGCATTTCTTTCCTGTTCAAAATCCGTTAAGTCTTGATCTATCAATTCCTCTTGTTTGTGATCTGAGTTGTTGCACATTGGTGATATCAAGTTCTTAATTCAATGCTCTTGACATAGGGATGATTTTTCCACTAATCTCCTCCATTGTATTATCCTGAGCAAATGCTTGGAGTGTGTTCACATAGCTCAGCAATTTTTCCCATATCCCCTTGTAAAAATGGTGTGGTGAGAGTGTCTAATCTCCTCTAACTTCATGATTGGGAGAGAGAATCAGCATCAGACCAAAGCTGATTCCTGTGAGGCAGAGGTCAAACATACCTCCACCCTACAACCTTTTTACCAATTCTGAAACGAGCTGTCCCTCCCATGGCATTCTCTGCTTCTCTGCTGGGTTTGATAATTCATTGCAATGGCTACACAGAACTCACGGACCATACTCACAGTTACGGGGTTTGTTAGGAAAGTAACAGGTTACAATTCAGAATCAGGAGCAACTCAGGATACAGTTTTTCGATCAGGACAGCCCCTTCTCATCTGTGCCCACAGGCAGGCTTCTCTCTGGTCCTCAGCCTCTCAGGCCCTCTGCACGGCCTCTGCCCCTGCCTTGTTCAGGCAAGTGTTACAAAGCTCTTTAGCTTCGTCAATAAGTGCCCAGGGGTACCCCACTCCACTAGCAAACCTCGGTCTGAAGCCTAGCTCTGCCAGCTGTGCTCAGAGGCAACCCACTCTGCCAGGAAGCCTCATGCTCGAAGCGCTCAGCTCTCTTACTCCGTGGGTTGGCACACCCACTGTAACTGCCTTGCTCCGTGGGCTGGGAAGCCCACTGTACCGTCTCACACCAGTCTCCTGGTTCTGCTGCTGCCACTTCTCAATGTCTCTGGGATGGCTCATTTTAAGCCTAGCCAGATGGCAAAACTGTGGCACAGTGGGTAAGGGCTGTGCTGCTAACCAAAAGATCTGTAGTTCGAATCCATCAGCTGCTCCTTGGAAACCGTATGGGGCAATTCTGCTCTGTCCTGTAGGGTCGCTATGAGTCATAATCAACTCGATGGCAACGGGTTTGGTTTGGTTTTATATGTATACTGGGTCTCTCATTTGTATTTTGGTCTACCTTATAACATTGATTTATCTGAAGCATGTTCTACCACTGTTGTTCTCAGAGCCCAGATAATAAAATATTTGGACTACGTGGCTATGTATTGGAGTGGTTTAAGGAGCTTAGGCTCTGGAGCCAGCTGGCCTGGCAGAATCCCAGCCTTGCCATTGTGTGGCTTTAGGTAGTGTGTCTAAGTTACTCTTGGCCTCTGTTTCTCATCTCTACAAACACTGTATAGAATGTTGTCCTGAGTATAAAAGTAGTCACTATGAAGCACTCCGCACAGAACTCAGCACGTAGAACTCAACCTTCAGTAATTTTTTTTTTTAATTACGTATGTTTATTTCCTCGGGCAGAGTGGTTTCCAAGAGTAGAGGATTTCCTGCGTCTTGTTTATAATGGGATTTCTTTGATTTACCTTGAAATGTGAACGCCTTCTCTTTGAAATCTCCTACCACAGCTGATGTCCACGTTGCCATCTTGAGGTAGAGCCAAAGAGAAAGCTTGTTCTGAGGTTGAATCTTTACAAAACAGCCATTTCAGATAGTGCCAGTTTGTACATGTGGCTTTTTTTTTTTTTTTAAGCCAATTTAGAAATGCTTGTGTTAAGACCTAGATTCTCCATGCAGATGTTACCAGGAACCCAGCTGCTGTTCAGCTCTGTGGAGGCAAGCCACCCTGCGGCCTATGGTTAATCCAGAATCACTTGCTGGGGTGAATCGCAGCTGTGCAATCCATCACGTCCTGGAGGTTTAGTGTCCTGTGACAGGTTCAGAGTACCCAGGAAGAAATATATGGTGGGGCCTGACTGGGCTCAAGCCATTGCTCATTAAATGTGGTGTTGCCATGTGCACACGCTGCCTGTATTTCTTCTTAAGTCTCTCCTGAGGCCCATAAGCCTCACTCCTAAGGTCATTGATCCACAAGTTAACAACTCAAGACAGGAGACAGGAGGTGAGACAAAGGGTTTGGATGATAACTTAGATAGAGGAGAGCTTATTATGTACTTATTTCTTCATATGGCATCAAAGTTGATTTAGTACCAAATTGTGGTCATAATGCAGCAGAATCCTGCCATTTGTCCCAAGTGTTTTGGATAGATTATTTACTTCTTCCTTTCCCTCTCAACATTCAGGCTAGGGGAACCTTTGACACAAAGATATATATATATGTATGTGTGTATGTGAATATTTGGTTTTAACAATTATTGTTTTATTTGTGACTACACCTTAGTATATTATAACATGAAATGAGTTATTATTGCTGTTAGTTGCCATAGAGTTGGCTCCTGACTCATGATGACCCCATGCATAATGGAACGAAACACTGCCTGGTCCTGCACCATTCCCATGATTGATTGCGGGTCAGATGGTTGTGATCCATAGGGTTTTCATTGGCTGATTTTCAGAAGTAGATCACCAGGCCTTTCTTTCTAATCATGTCTTAGTCTGGAGTCTCCACGGAAACCTATTTAGCATCATAGCAACACACAAGCTTTCACTGACAGATCAGTGGTGGCAGCTCATGAGGTGCCTCAGCCAGGATTCCAACCTGGGTCTCCCACAGGGAAGGCAAGCATTCTACCACTGAACTACAAATGCCCCTATGTGAAATGAGCTAAGACCCATTAAATGTTTTTTACTGAAACATGCCAGATGTTTTTTAAGTGCCCTCATGGGGAATAGATAATGGAGTTGCAGAAACAAATATCTAAATCATGGAGGTTTAGTCACCATGTACATTTTCTTGTTTTAAAAATTCTACCAGCTTTAACATATGAAATGTGGTCCCTATGGTTAGAGTGTCAGATTGTATTTCAAAACTTTTACAGTTAACAAAATGTTTTACAACGAGGTATTTAAAGCTGCCTTATTGAATCGAGTTGAAATCAACATGATGGCAACTGGTTTGGCTTTATTTTGCTATTGATATTTACTATGCAGATGGGCTCTCCTCCCCTCCCCCACAGTCCTTCAAATCCCCTCTCCTTCAGCTCCTCCAGAAAATAAAAAATCAGTCCTTGCCTCTTGTTGCCAGTGGAATTTATTCAGTAATTTACTTTTCAGCCGACTGCAGCCATTGCCTCTGGGCACTTGTTCAAAAATGCAGAAACGAAATAACAGATTGGCCAGACCGAACACGACTCCCCAGTCACAACCCTATTATCTCCTCATTCTGTCACCCCCATTAGGCAGAAGCCTGGGAGACTGGGTGGTGACAACACGGTATTGATGTAGCCTGTTCGTCTCCCCAGTTCACAGCTTTGTGCCAGTGTCTGCTGCTTCATCTTTGTGCTGCAGGGCAGTGAGGATGGGTCCCCACCCTGCCCATCTTAAAGGGCTTCTGTGCCAGCGTCCTTACCTGGGAAAGGGCTCCTCAGTCCCCAGAAAGCCACAACAAGATGAAGGAGCTAATTTCCTCCATTTGGTGACCACCTACCTAACCACCCTGTGAATGAGCTTGGTTGAAGCTGCAGTGTGTGGTTTTCACTGAATATAACTCCATTTCCAGGAGGAATCTGCCTCCACATTATTTATAGCTGTCCTATTCAGGTCAGAGTCCAGCAGAACAGTTGTTGCATTTAATATCGGCTGCATGGGGCTACTGCAGGGTAATGTTCTGAACAACTGTGAGATTTCTCTGGGCAGAGTGAATGTCCAGGAGAGGAGGGTTTCTGGTTAATCAAGAGAGAATTGTTTTCTGATTGTTGCCTCCTGTTGGAATTTCTTTTTAAATGATAGGCAAAATATACAAATGTTTGGAGAGAGTTTGGAGTTGTTTTCCCTCTTGGTCAAGTGTTAGAATAGAGACGTTTTTGAACAAAATGTTGAGAGAGATCCAGAGAAAAACGGTGTTCTCTTCCTGAGTAGTATATTCTACAGATAGACAGAGTCCCTGGGTAGCACAGACGGTTAAGAGTTCAGCTACTAACTGAAAGATTGGCAGTTCAGAGCCACTCAGAGGTCCCTCTGAAGACAGTCCTGGTGATCTGTGTCTGAGCGCTCACAGCCTTGAAAACCCTATAGAGCACAATTCTATTCTGACACACATGGAGTCACCATGAGTTGGAATTGCCTCTGTGGCAACTGATTTTTTGTTTGTTTTTATATTTTTGTAGTGGTTGGTATTTGAGGGTGGTTCATTTCCCATTGAACTTCCCCTTTTTTCCATGTTTGTATCATCCACCTGTTCAACAGACCTACATAATTGCATCTTTCATCAATGAGTAATTCTTTTGAGAAGGTGGAGGGCTGGAGTGTTGTTTCCAGGTTTTGTCCCCAATCCCTTTGTACCCAATTGGACAGTTTTTGGTCATGCAGAAGGCCTGCGGCGTGGCTGGAGTCAGATTGGGTGTTCTGACAGCCAACAGCATCTCTGCTGAGAACCACTGACTGATTCAGCCCCTTTCCCTACGAGGTTCTGGCCATGAGGTGGTGAAGCCAGGATGAGAGTGTCTCTGTAAGGAGACGGTAGCCTTGTGCTGAGGAAACAGGAAGGAGGGCATGTACAGCTTAATGACTTTTAGACAAATGTATTTTATGCTAAAAAGAAAAAGATTTTGTTTAAGTTAGTCTATCTTGGAGAAAACTGTTCTGTGTGAAGGCTTTGCCAGGGCTGCATGGGAGAGGGCAGTCTCCCACCCCTCCTAGGTAAAATGAAAAGGTTGACTCCTTTGTGAGATGGCTTGTATTACGTTTGTTGTTATTTCTTCTTACAAATTAAACCCTAACTCTCCTTTCCTTTCTTTTTCACATCAGCACATACTCCAGACAACAGCTTTCTGGGGTTTGTGGTGGAGCAGCACCTGAACTCCAGTGACATCCACCACATTAACGAAATCAAAAGGCAGAACCAGTCCCTTGTGTATGGCAAAGTGGATAGCTTCTGGAAGGTGAGTCAGTCTGCATGTGTCTCTTCCTGAAAAGAAGCTTGCTGGGTAATTTAATTTGACTTTGATCCAGGGAGTAATCAAGCCAAGTGCCCAGGGCTTAATGGGATCTGCTTAAAGTAAACAAGAATGTTCAAGGATTTGGTTTCTCAGCATTTGGTTATCTAATAAAGGCAAGATCTGCTCATCCATGAAGTGGTTGCATCACAGACTCCTCACTCTGCATTTTGGAAGTGACCCAAAATGTCGCTTGTACTTGCTTCTGAGAGTGGATACCTTTCTGAAGCCAAGCACTGCAGAGAGACCCTTTGCAAATGAGTCTTTTCCTCTGTCCTTTGGGAAATTGCATGGGTAGGCAGCTCCGTTGGCCTGGAGAAAGCAGTGACCTTCACATCCTTTTGGCTGTGGTCAATAATCATGGTCAATTGTCAGTACTCAACTAACTAAAAAAGAGAAATGTCTGCTGGGAGTTTGGGTAAAATTCTTGGCTACCGACAGAGCCAGATTTTCCAACAGGGTTGGGCTGTTGAGCCCTAGAGGACCGCTTTGCCTTCCTGGTATATGATTTCCGGAGTGCAGCTGGGAAAGGTACAGCAGGAACAGAACCGGACTGGGTGTAACCTGTTGACAAGCAAGGCAAATCTTTTTTATACAGGAAGCCTGCCTTAGTATGCAGATGTCATCGTTTGCTTTTGTTTTTTTTTTTTGAGGAAATGTTTTTACAGGACCGAACCATCTCTAGGACTTAAAAACATGCCTGTTCCTAAGTGTAAAAGTCCATTGCTTTCCAGAATGATCACAAACTGAAACTTACTGTGTCTCCCTTACCTAGGAAGTTAAAAATCCTACAAATGGGGGAGTGCAAGTGATGTACAGGGTGAAAAAGAATTCCCTGCTGTTGGTTTTCAGAAAAGGGAAAGCTTTGTCCACCCACCCGCTTCGGTTCTAAGAGGCCAGCTATACCGAAGGGACTATTAAATTGGCCTATTTCCTGGGAATCTGATTTAATTCCAGATAGCTGTCTTTGCCATCAGTAGCTAGAATTCTGCCATAGTCTAGTACAGGGTTCTCAACAGGGGGCAATTTTGCCCCTAGAGGACATTTGGCAATGTCTGGAGACATTTTTGGTTATCACTATCTGGGAGGGGGGTACTGCTGGCATCTAGTGAGTAGAAGTCAAGGATGCTGCTAAAGATTATACAGTGCACAGGTCAGCCCCACCACAAGGTATCAACCGGTCCAAAATGTCAATAGTGTTGAGGTTGAAAAACCCTTGACTGGTAAATAAGATTTATTTTCTCCATATACAATTCTACACTTTCCCCTACCTAGTAAAATAAAATCAATCAGGATTATAAAATGGTTATTTAAGATATGCCCCTGAATTTATACATCTTTACTTCCGTTGTATCAAAATCTTTCCTGTGTCAACAGCGCATTTTTCAGCTGACTTTCTGCTAAACTCCGGTTAAAAAGGACAAGATGGGCGTTCTCCTTCTCAGCTTGGCTGTGAAATGAATGGGTTGCAGTGTTGATTTTAGGGTGACTGAGGCTCTTAGAGGAGAGCTGCAGCTCCCTTCTCCCCTCTGCACCTGCTTGAAGAAAGTAGCTTGCATCTTTATGCAGACTTGACCTTGAGATTATATCACTTCTACTTTGCAACTCAAGTGTCATCTTCTTCTAGGTGTCTCTGGCACCTGTTTCAGTTTCCCTAGAAAAATAACATGCTAATTGGTTCTGAATGTTTTTTGGCCTTATTGGTCATATATATGTGTGTATATATACACACATATATAAAATAATACTACCACTTAAAGGATAACTCCCTGGATGCCAGTTAGAATCCCAAAAGTGTTAACCCACTTGAGCCAAGTGATTTAGGGTGGGATTTGGAAATCTGTTTGTATTTTGAGATGTTACCTGTGCAGGTGGTCTGATCCTGTGCATACCATGTATCACAGCAGGAACAGAACCAGATTGAGTGTGACCTGTTGACAAGCAAGGCACATCTTTTTATATGGCAGGCCTGCCTTAGTATGCAGATGTCATCATTTGTTTTGTTTTAATTTTTTTGAGGGAATGTTTTTATGGGACCAAACTGTCTCTAGGACTTAAAAACATGCCTACTTCTAAATGTAAGAGTCCATCACGTTCCAGAATGATCCAAACTGTGGTCTCATGTTGTTGTGTCTCCCTTGTCTAGGAAGTTAAAAATCCTACAAATAGGGGAGTACAGGCGATATACAGGGAGAAAAAGAATTCTGTGCTGTTGGTTTTCTGACCCCAACAGATGGCTGAGGGACAGTGTGTCTACCTTAGTCTTTGCCTAAAACCCAGAATCCAGTGTATTATTTCAGTTTTATTACATCGTTCCAGCGTTCTTTACTGGGAAAGGCCCCCAAAGATAAAAAATACTGTAAAGTTTTAACATGAATTCGGGACAGAGTCTCAAACGTTCTAACACAACACAGTATGTGAGCATTGCTGAGCTCATATCCTGGCTCTGCCACCTGCTGCTTGATCTTGAACAAGTTACTTAATTTCTCTTTGCCTCATTTTCATTTGAAAAATGGGAATGATATTAAAATTTTTGTGGCAATTAAATCAGTTAATGTATGTAAAGTGTTTAGAATATAACCTGGCACACAGTAAGTCTAAATAACCGATTGCTACTATTATTGATTGGGACCAGATAGGAAACACAAAAGTGAGAATGGGTGGAGGTGCGAGACAGTGATAGAGACTGTGAAAAGCCAGTCGCCGTCGAGTCAGTTCCAACTCACGGCAGCCCCATGTGTGTCAGAGTAGAACTGTACTCTGTAAGGTTTTCATTCGCTGATTTTTCCAAAGTAGATCACCAGGCCTTTCTTCAGAGCCAGTGAGGAACTGGCAAATATAAGCCTGCCTAAAGATATTCAAATTAGAATTTTTAAACTTTGCCAGGAATTAGTAAACTCTGGCCCATGGGCCACATTTAATATACTACCTCTTTTTGTAAATAAAGTTTTATTGGAACATACTCATGCTCATTCATTCATGTGTTGTCTGTGGCTGCTTCCACACTACAGCTGCCGCTGTGACAGAAATTGTATGGCCCACAAAGCCTAAAATATTTCAGAAGAAGTTTGCTGACCTCTGAACACGGCAGTGCCCTGAGTAAACCAAGTATGTCTCCGGAGGCCGCGTTTGGCCAGTAGCCCCTGGCATGGATCTCATTATGATCTTTTTAGCTTGTTTTTAGCATTTTGGATTATATTCCATATATTGAGGCTGATGGATAACTGATACATGGAAAAATGTAATTGACTTTAGTAAAATCCCTATCACTGTAAAGACAAGGCGGCAAGCACTGAGAATGGCACCTCCTAGTAGGCATTCTGCAAGGCCAGTGCTTATTCTATAACTAATGCATTGATAACAGGAGAGGCCGTTCATTTGTGCATGTTGACACTTCTCAGAGCCTTTCACAGCTGTCACGTGAGGTGATACACACCAATTCTTTTGAGGCGGCGAGGGCAGCTCTATTGTCCTTAACCATCTGGTTTATAGATGAGGAACTGGCTCACAGAGCTGGAGTGACTTGCCTAAGGTCACACAGCACAGCTGGTGTTCTGGCCTCCCTGCCACTCCTTGCTTGACAGAGCTGCTCCTCTACTCTCTGCCCTTAGGTTTTGCCCCTCAGAGGTGATTCCACGATTAGAGCAGGACTCATAGCGACCCCATGAGTGTCAGAGTAGAACTGTGCTCGATAGGGGTTATTTAGAAGTAGATTGCCAGACTTTTCTTCTGAGATGCCTCTGGATGGACTGGAGCCTCCAACCTATTGATTAGTAACTGTTAACCATTTGCACTATGCAGGGACTCCAGGATTCAGGAAGGATGGTCTAAATGGGTGACTTAAGTGTGCAGCTGAAACTATGAGCAAACACTGGCATAACAAGTAAATTGCTGCTCCTGGCTGCCCACCACAATAATGAGGAGGTCAGCAACAGCCCTGCAGCCAGTTCTGCAAGGAGTAAATACTCCTTATTGGGGGAATTCAAATTGTTTGCAGCTTTGGGCCCCAAGGGCCGGGCTTGCCCCAACCTTAACTTGTCTGGCAGCAATCGGAATTAGTCTCATCTGAGTTCAGAAAGATACTTTTTATGCAGACCTCAAAGATGGTGTGATTTTAAAGCAATGCCTCAAGCTAGCACATGGACCCTTCCTTGCCCATAGCCTAAAAAATGGGGCAATGGGCCTTTCTAGAAATATAATTCAGCCTTTCTCTTCTCTTTATCCCTAACCCCCTGCCCTTCTCTAATCCATTCTACACACAGCAGCCATCTGGATCTTTTTAGAATATAAACTGGATCATGTCATTCCTTTGCTCAAAGCCCTGCAACGGTTTCATTTTAAACTTAGAATACATTAAACTTACAATGAAATCTCATTTCGGTAGCGGCAGCGTGGCTTAGGGACGCTCTCTGTGAGTTAGCCACGGCCTGCTGTGCACCTGCTGTGCCCCATCCTCCTGCTCTGGCCACACAGCACACCCCTTCTTCCACCAGCCTGTCCTACAAGCATACCCTTGACTATCTGTCACACTTCACCCATCCCGTCACAGCCCTCTGTTATTTCAATCAACGTGCAATTATGCATGTATTTATCTTTTGTTGTCAATCTCCTTAATTACTAGACTGTAAGCTCTATAAGGAAGGTCCCTGGGTGATGAAAGAGTTTGCACTGGACTGCTAACCTAAAGGTTGGCAGTTTGAACCCACTCACCGGCACCGAGGAAGAAAAGGCCTGGCGATCTGCTTCCATTAAGATTACAGCCAAGAATACCCTATGGAGTGGTTCTACTGTGTAACACTTGGGGTCGTCATGAGTCAGAATCAACTTACCGACAGCTAACAGCAGCAACAAGCTCTATGAGGGCAGGAATCGAATCTGTTTTGCTTACCCACCACAGTGCCTGGCACGTAGCAGGCACTTAGTAATGATTTGACGAGTGTATTAAT